AGGATAAGGGTCTCTTTGTCAGGACCTGTGAAATAAAGTATTTAGCAGCATAGTAAATATTAATGTATTTGCTGCACAGAAAGTTTCTTTGCACCTACCACATCAGTTGCTTATTAGCAGCGACTGTGATGTTTATAAAAGTGCTGCGTGGGAGCGATGAATGTTCATTAGTGATCTAACACTGATTTGGCTCTGTGTAGGAAGGAGAGGAACTGCAAAGAAGTCTCCCAAATCAACATCCCCCACCCTTTATCTGTTTTTGTTAAACACACCGTGTTTGCAGGGCCTTGGCTTCCTGTTGCGAGATTGGCAGAGCTGCCCAAGCTCTGTTCCCTCACAGTCACCAAAAGTCTCCAGTAGGTGCTGGGATAGTCCAGCGCTTTGTTCCTCCACAATTTTAGTCAGATTCTGAATTCTGCTAGGTTAAAGACTCACAAGAGTGGCTTAAATTTCACATTTGGAAGTCACACCTCAAACAATGGATTTGCAAAATTTTTTTCTTTTTTCCTTTTTACACTAGTCAGGAAACGACTGTAAAACTTGCACGAAATTACATTTTTACTGGTTGCTGAATCAGAGTGGTAATGTAGACGTCCCGGTTTAAGCCTTTACCGTAACTGTGGCAATGTTTGTTTGTGTACTGCTTGGTTCTTTTGTAAAGATGTATAGCTGTGAGTGGTGCATTATTCCAGAGGTGCTGCTGCTCTGTATGTTCGCAGTAATGGGCAAAGCGGAAGGCTCTGTGGCTAGGGAAGAATGGCATGGACATGTTACTGCTCTCTCCGTTGCACCAGAATTTCGACGGCTGGGTTTGGCTGCTAAATTGATGGAGCTACTGGAAGAAATTTCAGAAAAGTGAGTACTATGCTTATCTTTACATTTAATCTTTCAAAGTAATGTTTCTACGGACACCTGTCCGTGGCTTAGATGTTCGATTTTCATGAAACAGACCCAGAATTTTGCTTTAAGTAGTGTTCTGATTCACTGAAATTCCCTGTAGTTAGAGAACAAGAATTATGAATATTGCTTGGTAGTTTAATACCTCAGGGTTTCTCTGAAACCTGGCTTGCCAGAATAAGTAGGAAGTAGCCTGAATTCCAATGGAGATACTGTATAAAAGGTCCTTTTCTTGACAGGAGAAGAGCTTCTTGAAACGTCAGCGCCGTTTCCTGTAGGGCCTCCAACATACTTACTCAGTAATGGTGGGCTTTGTGTGATTCCCTCAGGCACAATCTTGAACAAAATCTGTATGGCAGGCAGTATCTTAGCTTACTTTCCATCTCACGCTTGGTTGCTTGAACCTGCAGAAAACTTAATTTAGTGTCAAGTGAACCCACAGGGAAATGTCCCCAACTCATGCTGGTAGGGCAACCACGTTGTGGTTGGTAAAACTGGAAAATAGCACAGTGTTTTGAAAAATCTGCCTTGTGAGGAGAAGGGCCATCTCCTCTTAGGCAACTGAATGTTGTGACTGATTCCACACCCCTCCGCCGTCAACTCTGAAGGAGGCAGTCCCTAAACGAATGCAATCCAAAATGTGGATTTTTTTTTTTTATTATTATTATTTCTTATGGATATGAGGCTTGTGTGGGTGTTTAGCTTGTCCCATTCTTCTGTTCACAATTCTGAACCCACTGATGGGTGAACCCGCTGATGTAGAATAGTGGTCATGTGACAAAAATGAAACGAAATCGGTGCCTGTTCTGTATTTGTCCCTTGCTAAAGGAATACATCTGTTACTGCGGTGTGAAGTATGTTTGATCAGCATACCGCATCGTCAGACCTGCTCTTGGTCTGATTGCAGGTTATTATGTAGAAATACATTCACCTACTATTCCTTACTGTGTTTTTTTCATTTTATTTTATTTTTTCAAAGAAAGGGTGGATTTTTTGTCGATCTGTTTGTAAGAGTATCAAATCAGGTTGCAGTAAATATGTATAAGCAACTAGGCTACAGTGTGTACCGGACAGTTTTGGAGTACTACTCTGCAAGCAGTGGAGAGCCAGATGAAGATGCTTATGGTAAGCACTTGTTCTGCCTCAAGTTGAATGGAAAGTTTTGCATGTTGAGAGTTCCTGTGCTTGTTTGTATGATTTTTTTTTTTTTTTTTTAAAGATGAAACAAGTTCAGCTAGTTGTTGATAACTGGGATTTTTTAATACTCCTTTAGATAGCTTTTCCTACTGAAGATTACATCAGTTACAAAACTTAATCTTGCAGTTTACACATTTTGTAGCATCTGTGGCAAAAAGTGCTAAACAAGAATAAATTAGTAAGTACCAATACGTTTATCCTGTAGATAAGATGAAAATAAAAATGGAGTTTCTTATCTGATTTTTCTTTCTGAGGAACGCTCACATCCAGTGCCTGGGCTTTTTCCTAATGTTAGTGGGGGAAGGAATGGCAGTGCTTTCCTCGTTTCTTCCCATAACAGGGACTTGAAACACTTGTTTTTTTCAGATGTCTAATTACAAATTTACAAGTGTCAGTGCTCAACAGCGGCAGAGAATTGGGTGGCCTTTTGTATTTAAAAGGGAAGGAACATGGAAATTCAAGTATGTTAATGTCAATTCGGTTAACAAAACTGAAGTACCAGCTGCTTTGTCTTTCTAGATCTTCTCCTTTCAGTGTCCTCCCCACAGGGTTACCTGGCCATGCTGTGTATCGTTTCTGTTCTTGCACTATTAATTTGATATGCAAGAGTACTATGAAATACAGAGGCTATGGGCAGACATCTGCCATTGTTGCAGATGCCTTAAATCGTATATTTGTCCCCTTAGCCTGTCGTTTCTTTTCCATTCAGTTGAGTTTCATGCAGTGTTAATTCCAATTAATATCGTTGCTGCTGAACAACTTGAGATGTTCTATGATTCTAGGAAATCTTCTTGATTAAAAATGATCTAATTATAATAGAGAATTCACTAACTTTTTTTTTTGTTTCTTTTGTCACAGATATGAGAAAAGCCCTTTCCAGAGATACAGAGAAGAAATCAATTATACCTCTGCCTCATCCTGTGAGACCAGAAGACATTGAGTAACTGTAAGCTGTGATTCTCAGGCAGCTTATTAAGAGTGTCAGGTTCCTTCTCCCCTCAGCCCCCAAGAACTTACAGATGAGAAATCTTAGGCTCAGTGTTTTTCCTCATTGTTGTGGTTTGACCCCAGCCAGCAGCTAAGCCCCATACAGCCACTTGCTCACTCCCCACTAGTGGGATGGGGCAGAGAATTGAAAGAGTAAAGGTGAGGAAACTCGTGGGTTGAGATAAAGACAGTTTAATAGGTAAAGCAAAAGCTGCGCGCACGAGCAAAGCAAAACAAGGAATTAATTCGCCACTTCCCCTTGGCAGGCAGGGGTTCAGCCATCTCCCAGGAGAGCAGGGCTCCATCATGCCTAACGGTTACTTGGGAAGACAAAGGCCATCACTCCCAACATCTCCCACTTCCTCCTTCTTCTCCCAGCTTTATATGCTGAGCATGATGTTATGGTATGGAATATCCCTTTGGTCAGTTGATGTCAGCTGTCCCAGCGGTGTCCTCTTCCCATTTCTTGTGCACCTCCAGCTTCCTTGCTGGTAGGATGGTGTGAGAAGCAGAAAAGGCCTTGACTCCGTGTGAGCGCTGCTTAGCAGTAACGAAAACACCCCTGGGTTATGAGCACTGTTTCTAGCACAAATCCAGGCCACTATCCCAACCAAAACCAGAACACCTATGAAATACCAAAAAGCAACACTGAGACGCTCACTAACGCTGCTTCTCTTGGCAATGGCTGCATGCTCCTGCACTTACCCAATTATTTTTCCCGTCAAATACTGGAAATTCAGAGACTATTAAAACAGAATTACATCCTGTATGGTGTTTTCTTGGTTTTTCTTTCAAACCAAAAATACCTGAAATCAGTGATAGTAAAAACTCTTCAAATGCGTTTATTCATGACCAATGAAAATACTGTACAACACCCCAGCAACGCAGCAGGGGAAGGCACTGTATTGATACTTGCATGGAAGATAAGTGACTTGGGGGAAAAGGGAATTCCGGCAGGGGGAAACTGCTTTTTTGCTGTCGGAAGGAATGTTGGTGGGCAGAGTACTGGGCTGGCATGATAATAAAGCTTTAATCAGAGAGATCCTTTTTAGATTTTCATAAAGGCTTGTTAGGTGTCTGGTGTGCAGTGTCTTTGTCTTCAGTTATTTTGTGTCTTGTTTTTTACTTTCTTCTTGTTTTGGTAGTTGTTGTAAGAAATATTTTTTAGCCTTGCCTAATTTAAAAAAAACAAACCAAACCTAAAACTCCAGGTTTCAGAAAATGGCTTGCTCCCTGGGAGTAACTGTTTAAATATGAATTAGACTGAATTCTAATTTAAAAAGCGCCGCGTGGCGTGTGCCACCACCGCGCATACGCAGTGCATGAAATGCCGCCGCCATGTTACCCGGCAATAAAGGGTTAAAGTTTTTGTGTAAGAG